GAGCCGCCCTGAGTCCCCTTCGGGGGAAAAGGGCGGCATATAAATATAATGACCTGAACTGAACTGAACCTCCTCACTGTCCGGCTCTGCTGGCTGCCAGCAGCACGTGTCCAGATGTGCTGAAGAGAGCTTGAGCAATGATAGGAAATGGTTAGGGCTGGTGGAAGAAGATGCCTTTTTAAATGTTATTGTACCTGCTCCTAACTGGGCCTTGGGGGTCAGCCCTGTTTCCTGCCAGCTGTTTGTGCTGAGTTCCGTGTTCTTTCCCAAGGGCAGGAATAGAAATCCACCCAGGAGAGATTTCAAAAGCAAACGAAACGGAGCGAAAAGGATTATCCCAGCCAGCGCTTAACCTGCGTAACTCAAACATCACTTTTCCTTCTAAGTAAACTTTTAAACCCGGTCTTTAAGGTGGTGCGACTCCGAAGTCACCCTCCGGAGATTCCTTACCAACCTGGGCCAGAATTAAAAAGAAAAGCAAGTGTCGGAACTGTGTGCAGATAGTCCTCAACTTATAAAACTTCATTTAGTGGCCCTTCAAAGTTACAATCACCCTGAAAGGGGTTTATGACCGATTTGCACACTTACGACCATTGCAGAACGGTCATGTGATCGAAATTTGGGCGATGGGCAACTGACTCACGTTTATGACGATTGCGGTGTCCTGGGATTGCGGGATCCCCTTTTGTGGCCTGGCCAGAAAGTCAACGAGGAAGCCAGGCTCACTTAACAACCGTGTTACTAACTTAACAACTGCAGTGATTCGCTTAACAACCACAGCAAAAAAAAAGGTGGTAAAATGGGGCGCATTTCACCTTAACAAATATGTCTTGCACAGCAGCATAATTTTTGGGTTGTACGTTGTGGATTATCTTTAGTAACGGTGTGGAACCGGCCCCTGGTTGAAGGGCAATGGAGGCTGAAGGTGGCTCTGTCTGTTTCAGGCACTCGGAGAGCAAAGCTGCTCCGTCCCACTCGGGCCCCCAAAAGAAGAAGAAGCAGCAGCAGCAGCAGCCGCCTGGCCAAGAGACTGGAGTGAAAGCAGAGCCTTCTGTGGCCCCTCCCCAAGAGCCCCGGGTCCCCTACCCTTTCGTCTCCAGCCTCTCCGAGAAGGAGCAAAGGAGATACTTGTTTCTTTTGTCTGAATATGTAAATGCCGACCCAAAGCTCTTACCCTGGTCTCAGCAAAGGGATTACACTCAGTATCTGGTAAGGACTGCCTCTTCCCTTCCCTTTCCTCTTTCCCCTCTTTCCTTTCCTTTCCCTTCTTCTATCATCCCGTTCCTTCTTCTATCTTCCTTTCCCTTCTATCTTCCCATCCCTTCTTCTATCTTCCCTTTTCTTCTATCTTCCTTTCCCTTCTATCTTCCCGTCCCCCCTTCTATCATCCCTTCCCTTCTATCATCCCTTCCCTTCTATCTTTCCTTCCCTTCTTCTGTCTTCCTTTCCCTTCTTCTATCTTCCTTTCCCTTCTATCATCCCTTCCCTTCTATCTTCCTTTTCCTTCTTCTATCTTCCCTTCCCTTCTATCTTCCCGTCCCTTCTTCTATCATCCCTTCCCTTCTATCTTCCTTTTCCTTCTTCTATCTTCCTTTCCCTTCCCTTCTTCTACCTTCCTTTCCCTTCTTCTATCTTTCCGTCCCTTCTTCTATCATCCCGTTCCTTCTTCTATCTTCCTTTCCCTTCTATCTTCCCGTCCCCCCTTCTATCATCCCTTCCCTTCTATCTTTCCTTCCCTTCTTCTGTCTTCCTTTCCCTTCCCTTCTTCTATCTTCCTTTCCCTTCTTCTATCTTCCTTTCCCTTCTATCATCCCTTCCCTTCTATCTTCCTTTTCCTTCTTCTATCTTCCCTTCCCTTCTATCTTCCCGTCCCTTCTTCTATCTTCCCTTCCCTCCTATCTTCCTTTCCCTTCTTCTATCTTCCTTTCCCTTCCCTTCTTCTACCTTCCTTTCCCTTCTTCTATCTTTCCGTCCCTTCTTCTATCATCCCGTTCCTTCTTCTATATTCCCTTCTGTTCTTCTATCTTCCCTTCCCTTCTTCTATCTTCCCCTCTCTTCTTCTATCTTCCTTTCCCTTCCCTTCTTCTACCTTCCTTTCCCTTCTTCTATCTTCCTTTCCCTTCCCTTCTTCTATG